ATATAATAATTTGTTTATTATGTAAGCTATAATAAAAAAAAATTAATATAAATGACTCAATTAATTATTTTAATTTTGCAAAACAGAATTTTAGTTATTGAAAATTTAATATATTTTTTTAATTTTTGTGTTTTTATAAATAAATTTGCAAATTATTTGTTCTGAAATTAAGATTAACAAATCCTTAATTCTCACTTTTACAGCTAACATTCGTCGCTTTATTGCAACTCTCCGTGCTCACGATTGAAGCCAGCCCACTCTACTACAAATTTGGCAAATACGGCAGATACAATATTGATCCACTGCTCGCCTCCGCGTCAGCCGAGGAGCCGATGGTGCAGAGCAACAACTTTGACACGATTATGGCCGATGACAAATTCCCCACGGATTCTATAAAGTTTCAGAATTTCGCCAGTTTCCACGAACCAAAAATGACAGCAGAGTCCGACTTCAGCATGGACGAAACACAGTTCTTGCCCAAGAATACACCGATACGTGCTCCGCAAGCCGTGTCGAAGCAGGAACGTGAAATACGGCAGCGCATTGAAGTGGCCGACCCGAAGCTGGAGAAAAGAAAGATGCTGAAGTTGAAGAAGGGCACCTCAGTGCCGCGCGGCGCAGACGCCTATGCATGGGATCAGTTCGACTACGATCTCTATAGCGTGAACCCTTCAAATCAAAAGAAATTCTATTGAACGAATTGTGTTGCAACTCTTTTTCAATGTTCTTGTTGTATATTTATTTATTTCCTTGTGATATTTTCTGTTAGGCATTTAATAAAATAACTTATTTATTGAAAAAAACAAAATATTTGTTGATAATTAATTTGTTTATATGCATTTTAAAATATGGACGACGCTGTGGCGATTCCCGAGTTTAATGGTAGAAAGTTTGGAATTTTTGCACAAAAGAAATGCGCAATAACGCTTGTAAACAAATAAGCGAACGCATAAATTAAGCGAAAAAAAAATTAAAGACAAGCTTATAATAATAACCGGGGCGACTATGATTACGTTCGCCAACAAGTTGGCGTCTACGATTAGTCGACGAACGCCATATAAAATTCGATACCATAAAAATGTCATTTCAAGAACTAAGTTTAAGTGGCTTTTAAGGCAAAAACAAAAGATAAACAAAATAGAAAAACTAGAAACACATATAAAATGTAATTAATAGCCAGTTTCGAACTGAAGAAATCATTAATTATAGTCCCATTACGTGTCAAGTCGATAATGAAACGATGGCGCATAAACTGCAGAGACGGCTAATTTGCCTCCCAGCTGCAGCCAATAATCCAGCAATGAATACGTCAACGATCCATTTATATGGTATATGCTTGTACATATGTATATTCGGTTTGAAATTAATTGGAAGTGAGCTTAGATGATGCGAAACCTGCTGGAACAGTTATTTACGAGTTGTAAGGAATTTTAAATAACGGTTAAATGGCAATAATTGCAGAAATTCAGGGGAATGCAACTTGAGTGAAGAAATCGACATGCAAGGGACCGCTATTTTTAATTTAGCATGTGAAAAATTATTTTTTTTGAAGACAGTTTTTATTGCCTATTTATTGCTTTGACTACTAAGTATTCTTCTATCTGACTATTAAACTAAAAGTAATATAAACCATATTCACTTATATTCATATAAAGGGTGATCAATTTCGAGGTTCCCTGATTGTTTAAAGAAAAAACCCAGAAACTTCAAATTCTATCAGGAATGCTTATTATCATTCGAAAGAACATTCTTTGGCATTTTTTTCGACATTATCTCTTTCAAATATTGACCGCGGCTATGTCTCTGATCCATCCATCCATTCAGTCCAATTTTCGATGACACGTTTGAGGATTTCGACTGGTAACTAGCGAATGACATGCGCTTGCTTCAAGGTCTGAATCGAAGCGAGATTGTCCGCTTATAATTTAGACTTTACATATTACCACAGTAAAGAGCCCAACGGAGTGATATCAAATGACCTTGGTGGCCAATCGACCGGCCCAAAGCGTGAAATTTTCTGCTAACGAAGTGTTCTCTCAATAAATCCATTGAATAACGCAATGTGTGGGAAGTGGCGCCGTCTTATAGAAACCAAATGTAGCTGAGTTCACGAGCTTCAATTTCAGGCATCAAATAATCGGTTGTGATGGCGCGGTAACGGTCGCCATTGACGGTTTCGTTCTCACCAGCATCATTTTTGATAATTCCACCGGTAACACAAACCACACCATTTCTAGATGAAATGGCAGCTCAGGAATCTCCTCAGCTTGCTCTTCGTCAAATGCGGCAATTTTGCTTGCTTACATACTCATAGAGCCAGAGATGGGTCTAATAGCTGAACAAAATTTGAAATCTCGGGAAATCTTCTTGGAATTTTTCAAGGACCCATAGAGCCAAGCGATGTCGCTTGAGAAGGTTGAGCGACTTCAGTTTTTGCACAAGCTGTATTTTGTACGCTTTCAAATTAAGATCCCTCAGTCCGAGTTACTGCGAACGGCACTGAGTAGATTCTTGACGGTCTTCGTGTGCACTCTCAGCTGGACGTGGTCTATTCGGTCGAATATTATCCAATAATGAAGACAGGGTCTCAAGATTAGTGATGGTGTTGGAAGAGGCCGATTATGTTGATCATAAGCTTTCTCTACAGAACGTGAGTTTACGTAATAAAGTTGAGCGATTTGTAAACGTTGTTTAAGCGTAAGTCTTGTGATGATAAACCAAACAATACCGAACAAAAATAACATGACAGGTTGACATGACTCACGCGTGATCTCTCTAAAAAGGCTATTGAAAAAATGATTTATACTTGGATCAGCTGTTACCGTACCGTAATACGATTGGCTGCATATTTCTATCAACCTAAACTGTTTACGAGTTTTAGTTGTTGCAGAAGCAAAGCGAATGAAACGCAATACAAAAAAAAAAAAAAAGATTTTATGCGGAAAATTTAATACTGAAAGCTAGTTTTAATTTAATTTAGCTTAACCCATATATAGAATTCCCACTAAGAAACACCAAAAGCAATAAATCCGCCAATTCTGAATTGTTGTCTGTCCTTTTTTAAGTTTTGAATATATCTGATTCGATTAAGCGTAGTATTTGTGAGTATTGTGAGCTTTAAATAACGTCGAATGGGGTAATATCTGGAACTACTTATACTACTCATTAACGGCTAAAGCTATTTAAATTATTGTTATATTGAATTCACTTTAACTGTAAAACATTCTGAGAAAACTATAAAACTATGAATGTGAAATGAAACTGTACTATTTTCGTCAAGCATGTCTTCATAACTGTCATAGGTACCAAGAGTAACACATGATTTAAAACTGCTGTTCGTTTCCTGATTTATAACAATGTTATATTACAATGTGAATGGGTCACGGGCACAGCACATGCGTCCAAAATGGGTATGCCCCACAATAACACCTGCCGAGGCTGCGAACTAGTGGGGAATAAGAAAACAATTTTTGATTTTCTCTGTGAATCCCCAGCCTTATCTCAGATCCGGCACAGAACACTTGCAATTAATCAAACATCAAACCTTGAATAGATGTCTACAAATAGCATATCGGACATTAGTTCATCGAAACCACAAAATGGTTTGCACGTGAAGATGAGACGTGATAGCAATAATAAAAAGGTCTACGACTAGCGCATAAAAATGCCACAGCTAGTTCTAATTGAGACGAAAATATAACAGAGTTGCACTCCTACCTACCAACCTATGCCGTGACAGTGGATCCCGAGATTTTTTCATTTAAAGAAGAGAGATTTCTACTGCACACTTTTATTGACATAAAATCAAAGATGTGAGATTCTCAAGGGGTTTCATGCGATCAGCTGACTCAGTAACAATGAGTTGTTCTCAGTTAATTTGACCACGAACTATTAAAAATATTTTGAATTTCAGCTTCATTTTGCATCATCTGACCTTTATCAATGAAGTGAGCATGTCATCGTGATTGTAAGTTCTTCTTAAAAACTGGATCTGCTGAATGCTAGTCTAAAGAATACTCGTGTGACGCACTTCGAATTAAAATATTTTATGTAAATTCATAGACATTTTTCTTTCGTTTGTCACTATATTTTGATATCCGTTTTTTGGGGGAGTTCCCAGTGATTTTGATTAGTAGTAAACAAGTCGCTGTTAATCGTGTCAATAAAAAGAAATTATTAAAATTTTTTTGAATATTTGTTTAGCCATTTCATTGGGTAGTTTAGTAAAATGTTTACTGCTGTCAATTTTCTTTCGGTCGGCATTAAATCTTACAGCGCGTACGTGATTACCTCAGTGTACGGCACTAAACGCCGTGGTGCTGGTCGTCGCATTTCGCGTTCCTCCACAATTGTACGCAGATCCTTCTCGTGTTTATAGGGCTTGCTAGCATACATCTTGGGTATTTGAAATAGCAATCGCAAAGGCACATTGCCGACTGGTTTTAGCTTCGAATGTGCTGATTGATAGTTCAGGTAATTAATTGTCTCCGATGCTTTGTAGTTCGTGTGTGCGCTGTCGGCTTTTGGATAATTGAATTGAATTTTCGGTTGCTCATAACCATAACCGTTCTTCGATGAGTTATGATAGTCATGACCAAATGCTGTTGCTGTGTCTGTGTTAGCGACTTTTGTAATGCTTCGTGTGTGGGATTGAGAGAGCATGGCGCAGGAGACCTGGTGGTTGGGGAAATACGTTGTATATCATATGTACATGTGTGTGTGTAGATAATATATTGCAAAAGCTTGTGCTCACCATAAATAGCAGGAATTTCATTTTATTGAAATAATTTGGCTCTGTTTTTCAATCCGCTCGAGACAAACAACGATTAGTGACTAACTTAATATTTAATTTTGAATATATGTAAAGGTAGTTTTAGAACAAATCGCAATATTTACATTCGAAGCTGAAGTTAAATAAGGCAAATGAGAATGAGACTACAAGTGGAAAAGAAGCTTAAGTTTTGGCTAAATGAACTCAGTACTTTATTATATAGCATCCATTATGATAACGCCTATATTATCAAATGAAAGATCAATGTCAAATAATCCATCTATTATAAGTGAGAAGCTAGACTACATCGTAAAACCGTGCTACTGCGTTAATCCCTTCTCTATTGCCGGTCATATTTCGGAGGTCGTTCCATTTGCTGATGTTGCGCCACAATGTTGCCACTTGATCACTGATCATGATCACTGGTGTTGCGCAACAATGTCGCTGGAACCTGCACTACGCAGGCACACGATAAATTTCACCGAAGGAATACGAAGTTGTAACATACTTTTAGGCTATAAAAAGTGCCAAGTGGTACACTAACGAATCGTCAAACGGAACCTTCAAACCGAAACCGGTGAAAACCTTCAAAGCATATGGTGTTCTCATTATAATAATTTATTCACTATTCGTTTTAATACACTTAGACTAAACTTGAAATAAATGTTAAACAAAACTTAAAATAATGTAGACACTGACCTTTTCACAAACAAAACGTTCACGAATACATATATTTTCTTGGTATACACAAAGAAATTAACAACAAATTTGGTTGTTATGTTTTTTTCAGTTGAATGGATCTTGCGGTATCACAACTTCTGTATATTGATAGAGTCGACGATTTGGTGGACGATTCGCCGAGTTAAGCGCAGGATTTCCTACGCTAACGGATCCAGCAGTTATTGCCGGCATAGCGCCCGAATTGCCCAGGGCGCGGCACTTATCCGATATTGGTTGTGTACGTGCTCGCGCGTTTAATACTACTTGCTGCTGTCTCTGATGTGTCTCACCGGCGCCCAGTAGCTGCTGCTGATCACAATGGCCATCGGAATAGCAGGTGTTGATGAGACGAGTATAGGCGCGTGTGTCGCCCACGGGATTCTGTTTCTCCAAGTAATAGTCCAATCGACCGACTTCTGATTGCGAAATGTAATTGCCCAACAAGCCATTGTCGGCAGTGGTGGCGGCAAAATTAGGCGCGTTACCATTGGTGCCAGCGCCATTACTTTGTTGAGTTCCAAGTGGTGGTTGATTGCCGGCGTTCGCAAAGGATTGTGACTGTTGCGGCGTAGGTGTAAAACCGGAGGGAGGTGACGCTGGTTGTGCATACTGTGGTGTCAGCTGCGAATTACCGTTATTTTGCTGGTTACCTTGATTCGAAAATGATTGTGACAGTTGCGGCGTAGGTACAGGCGTTAAGGAGGCGGGAGGTGGTGCTGGTTGCCCATTTTGCGGTGTCAGTAGCGGATTCTGATGTGGTGTGTTCGAAATGGCGGAACCAGCAGCATTGTTGCTGTATTGCTGATCAGCGGCACCACGAAAAGCTTGCTGGTGTGGCCTCGTTTGCGATGGTAATGCTGTCGGCGCATATCTCGAGCCGGAGTTGACTGGTTGGTAATTGTTGGTATAATAAAGGGAGGGTCCATTTATAGTTGCTTGTGGGGGTGGTTGCCTGTGTAATAAGTTGTGATGATTCGGTTGAGAGAGTCTCACTTCGTAATTCCTTCCCGGAGGTCCAAGTGGGCGCACCACAGCTGTCAAAACAGGCACTTGAACGCCAGTAGGTGCGGACGTTTGCAGCGCACGAGGTACGTTAACAAATGGTGGAGGTGGGGGAGGCCCATATATATAACCATTATGTTGTTGTGTTGCCGTCTGCTGGTGACCATAGCCGTCAGAGTTGAGAGTAGTCGTTATGAGCAGTAGTGTCACGAGTAGAAATTGTTGAGAATTTAATTTTAGTTTCAGCGCGATAAACTGCATTTTGCTTGAAAAGAACTCGACTTTTCCGAAATGTTGTGAAATGTTGCGTTTTATTCTAAACTGTCACTTCGCGCTTTGCGATGGTTTCACTTGCGTTGTCTGCACTCAAATGTTGCTGCTGGAATTCAAATTCAACTTCGACCGCTGATGATAAGTCAAGTCTGAACATTTTGCCGCCGCGTTGCTTTGGTAATTTGCTTATGATTTTTAATTTGCAGAAACAGGTTTGTCTCTGAATGTGAAGTGCATTTCGTTTAATCAAACTGCGACGAAGTGAAGGCATAATCAAAAGAGATCTCAAAATGATCAACAGTCGAAAGAAATGTTGTAGGAAGAAAATTTCCAAAAAAAAAAAAAAAAAAAAAAAAAAAAAAAAAAAAAAAAAAAAAAAAAAAAAAAAAAAAAAAAAAAAAAAAAAAAAAAAAAAGTCTTGGCAACAACAAACAGCCTTTTCAAAGAAAGGCAACAAATCATGATTATGTATGAATGGCTTTTTGCAGCGCAATTACAAGTGTTGTTAGCAATAACAACCGTAGAAATGTGACGAAAACAAAGCAAGCAACGAAATTCAAAGTACACAAATGATTTATACTCATCAACTCACACACAAACAATCATGTATATATTTAAGATTGATCAATTCCACGCCAGTCACGCGAGATAAAAATAATTGCGGAGAGATGCACACACGAGCTGTTGAACCATGCTATAAAATGTGCGGAATGGTCAATCGCTAATGATCGGCTGTTGTAGGCGGAACTTCACGAAAGTGCTGCGGAAAATGGACGAAGTTTGGAAGCCGACACTATGGAGAAAATTTGGAAGTTTTTTGCATGCCGGAACTGTCAAAAATGGGGCAAGTCTAATGATATATTAACAAGTAAGGAAGAGCTAAGTTTGGATGCAAAAAACCATTTTATATCAGCTTGCAAGAAAAAAACTAGGAAAATACCTTAACGAAGCAGTTTTATATATTTACTTTATATATCTTATACACTGACCAGAGTATTCGGTACAAGGTTTGTTAGCAAAACAAAAATCGTTATATAGTATGTAGTATAGGGAGTTGGGGTAGTATCGACTCGATTTTATCTATATTTTCCAATACCACTTACTATTTACATGCCACATACTAGAAAAAAGTCATATAGAGCAAAGTCAGTCGAATGTTCCAAAATCCTGGTAATAGTTATATGGCACCTAGCCAAGTTTTCGTTCAAATTTATATATTTTAGGCACAAAGATGCACTGTTATGAATAAAACACGCTCTCTTATTTTCATTGGAATATATGAGGAACGAAATCGCCCGGAAGCTCAAAAATCTTTATAGTAGATATATGGGGGCTATGAGAAATATTGGCCCGATGTAACCCATTTTCGACATACACGCATACCATTATCAGGAAAAGATTATACCTGAATTTTATATAGATATTTCAAACATTAACCGATATTTTCGACCAAAAGTCAACTCTACCTACTGACGTCAAAATATTCGGTACCTTAGGCTCGAATAGTTTTTATTGGATTTGATCATAAGGTGGCATTATTGATTAAAGGCATTATTCGTGCAAATTTTTATCCGCCTATATGTATTGATTCTTGATTTTTGTACTGGAAAGTGAAAGAACCATGTGGAATTCAAGATGGTGTTGTATGGGAAGTAGGCGTGGTTGTTGTTCGATTTCATCCATTTTCACACCGTGATATAGATATAAGAGGAAAATGCCACGTACCAAATTTTGTCGAAAGCTGTCGGTTCCGAGGAATGCCTATCGTCAAATTTCCACATGGCTGCCATGATTCCCTCTCATACCATCTTGGAATTAAAATTTAATGCTTCTGGCGTATTTACTTATTGATTCATTGCGCTTTTAATAGTGTTTAACCTTACCGTTATCTTCCGATTTCATCCATTTTCACACTGTCGGTAGAAGTTCTTATATTATTTGAGCTGAACAAATTTGGTTATTGTAGATTTAGTAGTTTAGAAGATATTTACATTAAGCTTAGGGCGGATCCACGCAAACTTGGTACTGCGATCTTCTGTGCCAAATAACAGTTCTATATCTTAATTTATTGCTTAGTTGTGGCTGTTTATAGTTTTTCGCTTAATGGCGGTTCGTGGGCGTGGAAGTGATCCGATTACGACCATATACGTATCTCTATCGCGTACAACCGAGTTATCTATGTTATAAGCACGGTTTTTGGTTGGAGAGCTAAGGTACTTATTGATGTAGTCTAAGATTAATTTGATAAGACGATCTTTAGAATCATCGAGCAGATCTTTTTGTTCTTGTAACTTCCGGAAACCACTAGAAAACTGGTTGGACTCTCAGTGATCACTGAGAAATGAAGTAGGAACACTGAGAAATTTATTACGAACATTTCTCAGTGATAGCTGAAAGACTCAGAGAGTTTTCGCAGCTAATTTCCCAGTGATCACTGAAAGACTAACCAGTTTTCCTTACAAGAACTTCTTCGACCTTGCTTTCAGCGGGTTTCTTTGTGGAAAACTTAACATGCTCTCTTAAGGGTATACAAATAGTCCAACCGTGTTATATTTGAAGAGAGTACCAATGAGATCACAAATGAGTGGGTTGGGTCAATAAAGATGAAGATAATGAAAAGTAATGTATTAGTAATGTTGAATATTTTTATTGCGATTTTTATTGCGACATGTGTAAAAGATAATATCTGATATTCATTAAAGTGACCGCCTGTATATTATGCCGCCTCTCTTACCAAGCAATGAAATACATCATATCATTATTAGTTGACAGTTATAGTGTTGAAAAAGGTACTAAAAATGCAGTTTACGGCAACGAAGCCATGTAAATATCAATAAAAATGAAATAAAAGTTTAGTGAATGCAGAAGCAGCTTGAAAAAAAAAAAATATGGCAGATAAGTAAATAGGTAAATATGTATACATATATTAAAATTATTATAGTGCAAATGCTAGCCCATTCATATGTCAACGGCAATCTGTTGATTTTGATTTTAACTGTTTCTTTTTCGATTCGATTTTTTGCTCTCGCTTTCAAGCATCTCTCGTCTTTCCGTTTTTGCCTACCTGCTGCTACTACCTGACCAACCCTGACGTGTGTTTGTATGTATATATCGAGATGCGTATATACGAATCTACGTATGGGTATATTTTTTAAGCCGTCAGCTTCTGGCATTGTGATTGAATTGTCTTTGTTTCGCTTTTTACATGTTTTGTTGATGAGACCGTTCGCCTCCATTTAAGTGGGTTAGTTTTGACAGCAAACGTTTAACTTTAAAAGTCTTGCGTTTGAGTTTATAACTTTGGTGGCGGTGTGCTGGAAAGCATATGGAAATGTGCCACGAAAATGTGTCGGAGACGCAACCGTTTGATTAATTACTGTTATATCATGCAACATCTGAGCTACAGGCAAACATGTAATGCAACAATTATCCATAACACCTGTTGTTTTTGGTTGAGGCAACTTGCAATGACGAGGAAAGAAATTTAATGAATCAACAGAGACACCGAGTTGTTTGTAAATAAAATTATTCAATATTTCAGATGCGTTGATTATTCATGGGCAATGCAAGAGGTGAGTAATTATAGCAATTTCATTAATGCGATTTTAATATTGTTGAACATAATGTTAGTAGTGGCTGAGGTCGGGAGAAAGCAAATAATGTTTTAACCCTTTGGTGAGTATGTGTGTATGTACAATTCTCTTATCTGTTATGACTTGTAGAACTCTCCATTTGATTAATAATGTTTCTAGATGAAGTTATATTCACTTTCAAGTCAGAAGAAATGCGTTTTCTTGTTGTTCTTTTTTTGAAGAAGCAATGCAAAATAAAATTGTTTTTTTTTTTTTTTTTGAAATTCACGAATGGTTATAACTAACTTCTTAAGCTTAATTAGGATGTATCTTCCTCAAAGCACAAGATAAAACGAACCTGTTGTTCTATTTCCCAACGTTTATTAACTCATTCTTCAGTTTATAACTTTTAAGTACTTTTCGTGATGACTAGACGAGACGAAATACTAATAAATATTTTACTCGTAAGTTGAAAAGTAAACAGCTCGCATATCAAGTTTTTTACTCAAGCCATTCAAGTTCAAACAAAAATATATTGGTCTTAAACTTTGCTTTCGCCGTTTTGTTTTTGTAAATTTAAGGCTTTACTGCATAAAAACGATAAAAAAGTGTTTCCCCCTATTCCCTCAAAAAGCAATGCTTAATTAACACACGAAATGCTTTATGATCAATTTTTTTGTAAACTAACACAAGTTGTTTTACAAAAATTCTATATGTTTTTAATACCTAATAGAAATCATATAGATGGTAGCAGTAGAGTAATAGTATCATCTATGTACGTGTCAGCCTCAGTAAAGCGTGGACGGGTCCTCAGCCGAACTTTTCTTGAATTCGGCTCAAAAAGGGACATTTTCAGTTGAGAATAACTTTGGCATGCAAACAGATCTCTACAAATGACACAAATGTCCCAGATAGATATAAAACGATTTAATCGATCAGTGCTTGACCCTAGAGACATCTATTGGAAAACGGCGGAAGCAAAGTTGTAGACCTAAACGAATATTATAATAGATGAAATGAAAAGTCTTATGTCTATGTCGACGGCGCTATTAGAATGAACCAGATATGATTTTTAGTAAGCCCTAACCTTCAAAGAGCGCATGTAATAATTTGATGGCTGTCGGATTTCTACTTTGTAAATTATATCATTTTCAGTCAATCAATTTTATTGTGGAAAGAAATGGATAAAAAAGAATTTCGGCGTGTTGATAAAATATTGCTTTTTGGAGGGGAAAAATACAGCTGAAGCAAAAACTTGGCTTGGTGACGACTTTATGGACAAAATATGTGTGTATTTTGGGATGCGCATAGAATAATTTTTATTGACTACCTTGGAAACGGAAGGATCATCAATGTCGACTATCACTTAGCGTTATTGGACCGTTTGAAGGACGCAATAGCCGAAAATTTGTCGCATGTGAAAAAAAGGAAAGTGCAGCTTTACCAAGACAATGCACCGTATCACAAGTCAGTGAAAACGATGGAAAAAACCGTGATTTGGGTTTCAAAT